AATGTGCTTTTTCCTGTGCTAATTAGAAACAACCAATAAGAGCCAAGAGGCGGGTCTTAACGCTGTCAATCATTCCTCCGTGTGGCACTGCTCATTCCTTTCTTCCTCTCGCAGCTAGAACTGATGATGATGGATAAGCAGTTTTCCTGTAAAGTTAAGTTGTTTCTCCTCTATTCATACATTTAGCAGCATGTTCATAAGATTGATTGGCAGCGCTAAGACCCACCTCCTGGGTATGAATGGTTGTTTTTTGTCAGGAGCTTTTTTGAGACAGCAATAGGAGCAAGCAGAGGAGATCAATCTTTTCACAGGTTGTCTGTCTCATATTGTACAGGTAATCATGTTGACAGTTTTAACAAATATGTAAAAAGATGGAAAAAAAAGAGCCCACTGCACTGAACCCCACAGAAAACCTCCTGGTTTTTCCACCAACTGTTGGTTTCTGAGTTAAAACATTAGTATTGTTATTTCTAAATTAATATGAAATTGTTTTATTTGCATGTTTTAGGGCTTAAACCTCTGCACCATTATCAGTTTCTGCAAATAAATACAAAATTTTTCCTTGAAATTTCAGAGACATGTTGTCAGTAGTTCTTTGAACAATGTACATTTTACTCACACATAACCTATAAAGAGTAAAATCAGAGAAACTGGTCATTTTCAGAGGTCTCTTAATATATATTTCATAAAAGTTGCTGCACCTTTAAACACTACAAATGTTAACTGTTCTAGAAAGCATAAAATAGAAAAATGTAAGCAACAGTTTTCATATTTTCCTTCCAGTTTACAAGTTCATCAAAAGAACAAAAAAATAAATAAAAATGCGTAATTTTAAAGTGAAAAAGCTGAGACATTATGACTCTGTAGTCAGGAAAGGAAAAACTCCAGTCATGTGAAGACATGTGGTTGAATCGGAGGGAGTGTTAAGCTGCTAAATGTAAATTTTAGACAGATTGGGTCTACTAAAAAAACAACCCAAAAAAAAAAAAAACAGACAGTTGGTGTCCTCCCAGGGAGCGAGGAAAAGCAGCAATCTGCTGACCGCTGAAGCACATCGGTGGCTTTTTCCTCCGCTCCAAAGCGGAGGGAGGTGTGCCTGCTTTCCCAGTTAAGTCAAAGGACAAAGCAGCAATAATGAAGGCTGAGTTTTATGGCTGCTCTGCTGCGGTTTCGCTCGCTCGCTCTTCTGCAGGCGTGTGATCCAGCAGTGTCAGCCCCTCATTGTGAAGGAGCGCAGCACAGTGTGGCGAAGACACACACTTGTGTTTAATTGTAAATGATGCTGATGCAAGCTCTCTCTGTCAGTTCCCCTTTGTTGCATTCGGATGGTACACAGAGACGTGAGGTTAAGCCTGCTGTGGTTTTGTCAAATCTTTCTCTCTAATATGCTCTATTACATTTATTGTTAACAATCTAATTTAGACTTGTTGATTAAATTTTGATGAACCAAACTTGCTTCTGGGAGACAAAGTGCAACTAATTTTAAGAAAACAGTTGTGAAACTTGTTCTGTTTAAAGAATATTCCACATTATCTGAAAAACACAAAAACAAACCATCATCCTCCTGACACTTCCTGTTGTCTTTTTTGCCAGCAGTAACGTCATTATGTTGATTACGTGACTCGTGTGATGCAGCAAAGTTTTTCCAATAAAACCACTTTAGATGCAGCTGAAAAATTACCTCATACAACCACAAAATGTTTTTTTATATCAAAAAACTTGAGGATTTTGAAATTGCATAAGGCAAATTTATTTTTAAAAAATTCTGTTTGCACCATTTTATAATGGAAATGCAGTTAAAGTTTCTTGATTGATTTTAATATATTATTAATATTATGTTAACCCTTTATGTGCTAAATTTAAAATCTCCGCCTGGATATTTTTGCTTAGTTTAATTGTACGCAGCTCTTTAAATGTTCTGTGAGTAAATATATTTTTCCATAACAACTGGAACTTTCAATATGTAGCAGGTATTTTAGAAATGTACCATCTATTTAAAGAGCATTTCATCAGATTAAAATCACTTCCTGCTACAGCGGGAGTGATTTTACCGTAATAACTCGATATTGGCTGGAAAGCGCAACGTCTCCCCTTTCAGAAACTGTTGGAATTTTTCTGATAGTGTGGCAGAATTACGGTTCTGTAAATTTGGCTGGATCGTCATTGCTACGTTTTGGATTTGCAGGGTTAAATTAAAATGAGTTGTTTTGGTGTAAGACGGTCCTGGGATATTTGTAGCATGATCTCTGAATGTGGCTTCTTCACTCAGTCCCACGAATGTTGCAGCTCGTCGGTCTCTCTGAAGTCGTTAGTTTGAATGTGTGCATTCATGGTTGCTAATCCTGTGTGTGTTTCTGTGTTGCCCACTGCAGATAAGCACCAGCAACTCTGCAAAGACAAGCAGGTGCAGATGATGGATGGATGGTGTAAAACCAATTCATGCCAAATACAAGTTGTACCTTCAGTAAGAGTAGAATAGCAGATCATCCTTCCTCCTTTATTTACCCCATATTTTGGGGTAAGCTTTTAGTACTGTTGAAGTAAGACAAAACTAACTTTTCAGCAGAATGTAGGAGCTTGTTTTAAGTCAATAATTGCTTCACGTTGACTAAAAGTACTATTTCCATTGATTATCTGACTTATTCAAAAAATAATCTGCCAGCAGAATTAGCAGTTTATTGTCAGTGTTAAGAATTATTGATGTTTTGCTGAGAGGTGTGGTGAGGAAAGAGAAATTCATCAACGTTGACTGTTCAGTCAAAAAAAAAAAACAGATTTATTAAGTTTGCTGCAACACAGCAGATTTTGAAATGCAGATTTGACCCCCAGGCCTGGAGTTTGACATAAGAAGTTTAGAGAAAAACTTATTGCTTCTTACAAAAAATATTTGCGCTAGAAACGGGAGAAAAATACTTGGCATTATTTGATTTTTGCAGTAGATTAAAACGATGCACAGATTTGGCTTTTTGGCTCCTGCAGTAACTTTTGCTAACAACCCAGTCGAGTATAAACGGAGCAGACAGGCTGACTAAACACAGTCAAGATAATCTGGCACCGAGCAAAGTAACCCCAAAAACAAGAATACTGGATGTCGAAAACTGAGCTTGACAATAAACTGTTGTAATCACAAATTGAAAGCAGGTGTGAATGGGAGGATAAATAGCACGCTGACAGACAACAAGATGTGCTGGCTGCTGTACAGAGCAGACTTAACAAAAATCTAGAGCTTAACTGAGGAGCAAATCAACGCTGCAAACTATTTTTTCCCCCAAAACCCAAAATAATTCACCATTGTTTTTGGATGCAGGGGAAAAAGAGCCCAGCATGTGTGCAGCGTTGCCTGGAAAAGATCGTAATTTAAGCTGTTTGATGTGTTTTTGATTCAGGGGAGAGAAATAACAAAATGGAAATGTGGCTCTGCAGAGAGCTGAGGCACACGCATGCTGGCTCTCACCCTGGAGCCTGAATGGTTCATGGGGTTCAAAATAATTTTTTAATTTTATCATAAGTGATTCCACATCTTGTAAAAATATCTACTGTGTTTTTTTCCCCCCCTATTTGTTCAAGTAATGGTCATAAAGATCAATATATTTTATTGGAATTTTTTGTGTTAACACAAAGTTGTTCATATTTTGGAAGTGATACAAAAATTACATGGTTAATTTTTAGTACCGTAACCAATGATTCTTTTAGTAATTGATTATTCTGAAGATTCAATCATTAATCGGTTAAAAAAATTGACATTTTCTGCAGATTTTTCATTTAATTACTGAATTCATTTTTTGTTTAATATTAGAAATAGATTCAAAGATGCAAATAAATCAGAAAATAAACATTTTATTGCCTAAAATACAAAAACACTGCATCGAGTAATCATAATTAATATGATTGTTTCAGCCTTATTCATTTTGACACTGACACTGACACTGCTCTCCAGTGTCACAAGTATTTGCAGTCTCTTTTACTAGAAAAGTTGTTAATTGTTTGGCTACAGACAAAACACAACTAATCACACCAAATCACAGTGATTTACACCCTGCATCTTTGTTTGGGGATGTTTTTTCTTTATCAGCTCAGTGCTAATGGGAAGATGGATGAAGCTAAATGCAGGAAAACCCTGGAAAAAACCCTGTTAGAAATTTTAAAAAAAGACAGAAAATTGAGGCTGATTCGCTCTCCAGCAGCCTGGTGTTGCAGATGTTGCAGAGAAACACGATGAAACAGAAATGCATTCCAAACTTTTTAGATTTTACTGATAAAACATTTGTAAAATTATGAATTATTTCTTCACCATGTTTATTGCTCTGTACGACTCTTTATGGCAATAATTAAATATATGTTTGTTAACAAACATTTTTTTTGTTGTTGTTTCTGTCTTTTACAGTTAACCAGTCTTAATGTCTAGTTTAGTTCATTCATTTATTTACAATAAAATTTAGATTTTGCTTAAGTTTCCATCTGTCATAAAACAATCATTGAATGTCTCTTTACATCCTTCATACAAGAAAAATCTTTCTTTTACTGGATTTAAAAGTTTTTATGTGTATAAAAAAATCTACTGCAGAAAATGTGCAATTACAATATAAACATGCTATAAATGCTTGTTTTTTTTAATTTTTCAGTGAAAAAAAAATCAATTTGGAGATGGATATATATAGTTTAAAGAGTGTTTCAGTTTCAGGGAATGCATTTCACCATTAACCTTCCTCCAAAGTAAAAGGTCTATAATTTCATGTGAAATGAAGCAAAGCAAAAGAAGAACTATGTGTCAGCTTTAATTTCTTCCCCAATTAAAATCTGCTCTCCTAAAAGCAACAGTTTCACGCAGTTCTCCAGCTGAAAACTTGTGCGATTTGTTGGAGTCTAAGTAATGCTGCAGATTGGTCTCGGTCCCCCGTGGCTCAGCAAACCGATTTGTCTGACGGTGGAAATGAAGCGGCACTAATGTCCTCTCTTTTAGCTCGGCTCACATTCATCATTTGTTTTCTCTCCCGCATCAGGACCTGGGGAGTTCAGACGGTCCGCCGAGGAACTGGAAAGGCATCGGGATCGCCATGGTGGTGATCCTGGCCGTCATGTCCCTGGTCATCCTCTCCGTCGTCATCCTCACGCCCGGTAAGAAAAGAGGCGGAGGGAAGCAGGAGCATCAAAGCGGGAAGCACAATTTGCATCCAAAGCTTTGAAAGTTTCATAAAAGAGACCAATTTAACTCTCATGTCTGCAGCCAGAAGCCTTTAACTTGACACAAAGAGCAGAAAAGAAAGGAAGAACTAATCAGGCTCTGTAAAGTGGAAAAAAAAAAAAAACGGGCGCCTCCTTCTGAAGCATGTTTGTTTAATCTGTACAAGAACCACATCATAAATAAAACAGTTGAGTCTTTTGAGAGGTTAAAAATGTCTTTGACTCTTTTTTTTTGGTGCCAGGCAAACTGGGGAAACTCTAAGAAGTTACTGCTCCTGGTTAAATCGTCTCCGAGAGATTAAAAGAGCCAATAAACCGGGAGTTTTTCCTTTAAGTCTTTGTTTTTAGCACCGCCATTAAACAAATAAGATATAAGGTGTTAATTAGTATGCTATAGAGCTGGACGTGTCCCCTGGCTTCCATTTCGTTTTGCTAATTTAGTTTCGCTCCTGAAGGACAAACGTGAGAGGAGCATCGATCTCGTCAGCTCTGAAAATCCTCTCCACGACGCTGAACTGAATGCAGACGTCCTTTCACTGTTTTGCTTTCCTTCGACGGCGCTTCCAAGTGCCATCTGCCGGCTTTTAGATCAAGTCAAGACAACTTTTTATTCCTGCAGGCGCTTCCCGAAACTGCTTGATGTTATTTGCACCCTCTGCTTACATGAAAGCTACAAATGGACTTGAAAATTGGATCCCAACAGATTTATTCTATGTTTTATGTTTCTATATATTTGAAACACATTTTAATATCAGGCAGCTATACCTGAAATTAGAAATTTATTTACTGAGGGAATAAAACGATCTAATCTGCCCTGCGTTGAATACTTTAGAAAAAGTTTAAAAAAGTACCTAATTACCGTTGTTATAGAAGTAAATATATGGAAGTAAATATGTGCCAGTAGGATTTGAGTTAAAAATACTCCCAAAATGTTAATTTTGCATGTTTTTGGTCTCCTAAATTGCAAAATGTTGTCCTCTTTCACAACTAAAATCATCATTTATTGGATTTCAAATTATTTTGAGGCTCTGAAAAATGTAAGTGTGACGAAGAAATTAAAACAGAAGAAATCTGAATACTCATTTCTTCACCATTAATCTTCCCTTTAATTTGTGCAGTGGAGTAGAGGTGGTGATGAATCTTTATTTTTATATGTTTGTATGTTTGTTGTTTTTGCTTAATCAATCATTAAGGAATGCACATCAGTGTAATCAATAATAAATGTAATTCCTGTTTGCTATCTCTTGTCGATTTGAATCGAAGTGTAAGTTTTGGAAATTATTATAAATGATTGTGGTAAAAAAAACAACTTTAGATTGATTTAATTGGTTTTTGAAGCATGAAATAATTAGTATAATAGCATCTGCTTTCATGTGAACAGAGGTTTCTCATAGCTTGCTTTGTCTGTCTGCTTTTAAAGACGAGTCTCACTTGTTGCTCCACTCCCATGTGACCATGGAGGATCTGGAGAGTGAAGAGTTCAAAGTTCACGATCCCTGTGCGGCGTGGTTGAACGGTGAGGATCCATGTTTTAATCACCTGTTATACCTGAGATGATGAAAAGTATTTGCCAGTGATACATTTCTTGTGTTGGAGATGGAACAACAGTGAAAGGATTAAATGAACAAACTTAAATAAAACACAACAAAAATAATGTTTTTGGGAATTGTCAGTCACTGCCAGTGACACCAATTTCTATTGAACTAAAATCCGTATTAAATAAAGTCAACCTGGTGTACAACAAAAAGCATTACCTGTTTATGTTATTGTGCAGAAATCTGGGGCAATAGTTACAAAACTACCCTGCAAGTATTAACAATACCACAAAAAAGAGAAATAAGTATAATCCATAAGGTTGGATATTTAGAAAACACAATTTAACTAGATTTGTGAAACCTAAATTGTTGAAGACCTAATACTTTAAGCTAAACATAAGCATGAACATTGACATGAGATTGAAAAATTGTTTAATTTTATAAGTTTAAAACATGCAAATTCAGAAATCCTGCAGGATAGCCGATGTCCAAACATAAAACTGTTCAAATTATCATAAAAACATACGACATATGATGATTACTCCTGGATATAATATATAATACTATCAATCAATTATTGTTGTTGATGCTAGCTTTGTTTTTTTAGTAAATTTTAAGGAAATAATAATTGTTCATCCATTGTAGCCAAAATTAAATATAAGTCCAGCAGCTTCTGCTTATATACATTCAATAACATCCAATGCCAAAAATCCAAAACCAAATTACAGAGTAATGGTTCCCAGTGAACTGTTGCAAAAAATTAAACACAGCAGATAAAATTCTTAACATTAATTAAAAACACAGCAAAGTTATACACCAAGAAACCCTGTACGCAATTAAAAGATATATGCCAAAGTGTAACACTTGTAAATAAAACAGGGCTGATTGTGATGCATTCTGCAGTTTCAGACGACGGCGAAACACGGCGGCGAGAACGAGCTTACATAGCAACAATAAATGTCAGGAGAAAATAATAATAATAATATTTATTGAAAGACTTAATGGACCAATTTTGACAAATTTTGCATTTATAACACGGTTAAAACAAAATCCATGTGAGATTATGCAAGTGGTTGAGAAGTGGGACTTTTTTTTTTTCAAGTTTCTGCTTCCACCCACTCACGTGAATATGTAAAAAAAAAAAAAAAGAAAAAGTTTTGACTTCATGCTTCACGCTGTATTTCTTTCCATACATATTCAGAAAATTAAACAAACAAACTCAGTGTGTTTTTCCCCCCTGACAGAGAACGAAGTGGTGCTGCGCACCAGAGAGGGACATGTCCTGACATTCACCCTCAGCAGCAACCTGACCGCAACGCTGCTGGACAACAGCTCTCTGGTAGGACGGCTTGCAGAACCGACTGTCTCTCACGAACTCAAAGAATGAGCAAATAGGTCGATAGAAATGAAAACTGGGAGACAGATGCTACGGGGAGCTGTGGCACCACATGGCGCATTTTAGACAAAAAAAGACTTGGCACGTTGACGGTATCGGCGCATATTTCCCCCCCTACCCCTCCAATCTGGCTCCTCTGTGAGCCCTCTGCTTGTGTCTTCAAAGAGATCTTTCCGTGCGAGGGCATCGTTTTGAACACCGCCTCTGCTCGACACTAACAGACTTATGTGGGTCATCGCAGCCATGCTCAAAGCAGGGTTGTGTTGTCGGGATGATAAGTGTCTTCCCTGTGTTGAGATGATGGTTTTTTATCTCTGCTTCGATAGAAAATGAACAAAAGAATAATTTTCTTTCATAAATATCAAAACACAAAGATAAATATGTTGCAGAGACAATTTTCTAGGTGACCTATTATGCCTCTCACCAGATGTACAAAGCTTATTCATGATTTTATTTGCATAAAATCATTTAGATAATGAGACTTAGACTGCTCAGTTCTGCCTATTTTAAAACAATCTGTTTTGGGGTTTCTTGTCACTTCAAATCCAAACCAGCTGCTGCTAGCGACAACGTTTACACTACAGATGTGTAATTATACAACGGTACATCATGGAAAAGCAGAAGTAGAGCCTGGTGCTCAACCAGCAAGAATTTAGAAAGTAATTTATGGATGGTAAGTCAACAACTTGTCCAGCTGACCAAATGTGCCTGCTGAGATTTATGGCATTACATTCCAGGGGTTTTTGAAACGGTTCATTTTCAAGACACCAAAATATATTGAGCTGTTGCTAAAAAAAACGAGCTAGGTTGGTTTATTAAGCAATGGAAATCCAAATGGAAGGACAAAAACATGCAAAAAGTGGAATTTGCATAAAACAATATCCCAGGAAGTAAATTAGATGATGCAGTAATGGAACAAGAGGAGACAAGAAAATATTAAAACAATAATGCAAGTATAAGAAAAAGGAAAAGGGAAAATATATAAATTTCTTTTTGTATTTTTAACTATATTAGTTTTGGTCCTCCATAGAAATAAGGATGACAAAAATATTTTAACTAAACCTCAAACTACCAGAGGGTTGAAACTAACAGAAACATAAAAATGTTTTTAAAATGGATAAACAGTCATTAGGCTTCTGAAAGGTCACCAACATCAACTCTTGCATAAATTTGTGGACTTTGCTGCAAAGCTATTGGTCTATTGGCCAAAACTGAATCAACATCATGTATCAATTTTGCCAAGGAGTTTGATGAAATATTCTGCCAGATTTATGAAAAAAGCAATAAGACTTTCAAAAAGGACATTTGTCCAAATATTGTGCATATATTTGAATCCTGGAAAGATGTAAAATCTTAATTAAATCATTAATTATTGTGCAGGATTGGTGTGTTGTCACCCAAAAACCAGACACGAATTGAGAAGAGAAGTCTTTATTTTTCTTAATTAGGATAATACAAGTCAATAAAAATAAATTAAGAGGATATAAATAACTGAATGTGGTCCTAAAGTAAAATAAATGAAGAAAATATTACTAAATCTGAGTAGTACTTGCACTATAAACAATTCTTCTGACGTTTGGCTGTTTTATGTCATTGCAAATGTTTCTCCTCAACACATTTCTGAAATGTTGAGGCAGCAAAGCTTCAGGACTTTATGTTTTCATTTGATCCGATTCTAAAACGTTGTTGCTTTGCTGTGGGGGCTTTTTCTCCACATTTTTCTGCAAGCACATCTCAAGGTGTCGAAGCAGTTTTTGTTATTACTTCCTGTTCTAAAATTCTCCACTCAGTCATTCTGCAGGGACGGGTGCAATCCAGTACACTTGCCCTTTTTTTTTCAAATATGCAGTCGTATCTTTGTGTTTAATAATTTAGTTGTGTAATATCTTGGTAAATCGTACACGGACATCCCTGGAAATTACACTTTCTTCAAGACTGCATGCTTCCCAATTTAGTGAAGTGTCCTCTTCTGCAATAACGCTGCAGTAACAGCAATATAGCACTGATTCCCATACCATCACAGAGCCTGGCTTTTTTTAAATTTGCTGCTTAGAACAGTTTGCATGGTCCAAAGCACATTGTATCCCCTTTCTCCAAAGAAGATTAAGATTACTATTTCTTTTATTACAGTCCACATTACGACTGTGTGACGGTCCATTCGAGATGCTTCAGAGCAAAGAAAGAGTAACTTCTGGTTGTGGATGAAACATAAGACTTCTGTTTTGCCCAGTAAAACCCTAATTGGTACTTAAAGGCATAAATCAACATGATGCTGCTCGATAGAGTCATCCAAAAGATGAGCTATTTGATGCCATTTTCCATTTAAACTGATAAAAAAAATCTTTTTGTTTTGTAAACTGTGTTGCTTTATATGTTCCGTTCTCAGTACGTGTTTCATACAAAGGTCATTGCTGGTGCATCCTACCTCAGCTTCTTTAATGGTTTCTGTGCAAATAAGCACTCAGTTCGAAAATAATGATGGTTTGAAGGTTCATAAAATGGCATTTGCATAAACCATTATAACATCTTTGTTGTAAAGATGAAGCTATTAGTTTCAACATCGTTTAACCCTTTCAACTCACTTTTAGCTCAACCTGGATATTTTTGCCTATTTTAATTGTACAAAGTTCTTTAAATGTCCTGTAAGTAATTATATATTTGCCCATTTATCCGTAACAACTGTAACTTTCAATATTTAACAGTTAGTTTTGCAACTTACTGCCTACTGAAAGTGTGTCCCTCTGATTGATTTGACTCCCTGCTGTGGTGGGAGTGAAATTACCGTAATAATCCAATATCGGCTGTAAAGCGCAACGTCTCCCCTTGCATTGGATTTTTTCAGATAGCTCAAAGTGTGGTGGAGTTACGGTACTGCAAAACTAAATAAAGACTACTGCTAAATTAACGTTGTAAAATGTTTTAACAGAATCTGACTTCAAAATTGCACACAGACGGGTGAAAGTATGGAAAAAAGTTATTTTCATTGCGATTTTACTTTTTTAAAAATCTTGTTTTACTATCCTTTACATGAGAAAATGGCGCAAAAAGTTTCTGCATTTCTCCTAATTCTGCCTTTTTCTGCAGGACCTGACCTCATCTAAATTCCAGGTGTCTGCAGACAAGAGGTTTGTCCTCTTGGCGTACAACATCCAACCGGTAAGTTTGATATCGCCAGGAAAGTGGCCTTGGATCGACTCTCGACTTCATTATCCAGTGTTTCGCATTCAGAATGCATCCACAGCCATAGATCTTCCTCAAATATTAAAGACAAGCGATTCCCTGCTAACAAAGCTTGACGGGCCACTTGTGGCTGTTAAACAAAGGTGATGTGCAATTTCTATCAAACAACACAGAGAAGCTGCAAAAGCATGAAGGACAAGGTTGAGGAGAGGTTGTGTGTGTGTGTGTGTGTGTGTGTGTGTGTGTGTGTGTGTGTGTGTGTGTGTGTGTGTGTGTGGGTGTGTGTGTGTGTGTGTGTGTGTGTGTGTGTGTGTGTGTGTGTGTGTGTGTGTGTGAGCTCTGTTTCTGCAGCTGCAGCAGTCTGTAACACCCACCCTCCAAATGACTGGGATAACATATGAGGAGTTGAATATTTAAACTGGCTCATTGCAGTGGGTAGGAGGAGGGAGAGATCGCTGTGAAGTGTTTAGCAGACGAGGTGCAAAGAAGTGAAAGAGGGGGATCAAAGAAGAGGGAAAGTTGGAGCTGCGGTAATGAAATAACCCTGCCTGTTCAGTGGGGAATTTTAATAAGAACATGCAGAGCCTCACAATCGCAGGTGGGTTTAGATAAGGCGAAGAAAAACTAGATCTCTACTTCAGTTTCCCACCACTTGTAACTCCTCACCTCGCAAATTCCTGCATAGTTGCAAGTTATTTGCTCAAAGGGAAGACAAGCTGTGTTATGTGCGAGTAATCAGAGGTGGAGGAGATCCAAATTAGAGGGAAATGACAATCCTCGGCGCATTTCCTCCCACATTTTATTAAAAACCTGCAAGAAGATTCCTCCTGCCCTCATTTGTTCTGCCTCACAGTCTCCTGTATCTCTCTGGGTTTCCTTTTTTTTTCTTCCCCTCTTCTAATCACTGCGTATCAGATTTTCCCTGTGTGTGGGGAACGAATGAGCCTGTTGCTGTGTTACTGCATTCATCACAAAACACAGAGCTTCCATACTAACTGAATTATTGAACGGTTATGCATACATTCAATCTGTTTTTCACAAATCTACGAAAGGAAACGGGCTCAGATCTTTGGGACTCTGCTTAGCTGATTTATAGCAAGTCATTACCATATTTCCTTTGGTATCAGCAGGATTTTTTTCTTCTTCTTCTGCACACTCAAGGATATAAGCACACTATATTATGAGCTTGGGTGCACATAACCTGGAAGCATTTTGTTTGCTCAGAAAATAGGGTATTTGCATTTTGTGTTTGTGAATCCTCCATCCCTCTCCCAGTCTGTCTCCAGCTGTCTTCCCATCTCTCCTCCTTCATTTTCCTCACTCTCGCTCACTTTTCTTTCTCTTTTTTTCCATCTCTGGGGGTAGATTTAAGCTGACTGAAGCATTTTATGCCAAGCACCATTTCTGGCGTTCAGAAGAGGAGCGGAGGACTTCTCGGAGCGCCAGAGAATGCAAGAGCGAAAAGAGAAAGCAGTGCATTCAGGGCGGCGGCGGCGGGAGTACAATAAATGGGATACGGTCCGCTTGTCCTTAGACACGCTGCCCATTTACAATCAGCTGGGATGTTTATCAAAGATGGTCAGAGATTCAAGAAGGAGAAGAGGTGCGAGGAGGAGTTAAAAGGGTTCACTGGATTTTGTAAAGGCTCAGAAGGGTTTGCAAAGGTGGCGCCTGCTGGGTTGAAAATAAATAGATTTTGCTAAAATAAAAGGGAATGTATAGAAGCTAGTTAGGGATTTTGACACAAAGCAACAAGACAAAGCAGATTACCTGCAGGGAAATGTCTCTCATTGAAGCCTGTTTGATTTAGGCCACTTTGTTTTCACAGTTGAGTTGTGTGGGAGTAGAGAATATGTAAACAGGAGAGGGACCCTGCAGAAACCTCATACATGAGGGTTTTTGTTTTTTTTTTTTTTTTTTACATTTTGTCACATTTACAACCACAAACCTTTGTTTACTTTATTGCACTTGCATTTCTAGCGCAAGTATCTTAATCCTCTCAGGCTCAAATTACTTGCAAAGACTGGCTAAGTTGTTGCAAATCTGCAACACCTGCCTGGAGATGGTTAAAATGAGAAAAAAATAAGTTTACCAAGATATTTGCACTTGATACTGGACCAAAAATACTTGGTAAGATTCTGTGTTTTGTAGAGTGTGAATGAGGTGGAAACTGTTTTCATACACAATAAAATCTGAATGTTTTGTTTTTTTATTTAGCTAACCTGAGTGCATATTATGTAGAAGCACCAGCTGGTCTCCTGGGGTATGTCTCTGCTTATGTAGTTCGATGAGAAACAACATTTTCTGCCAATTTTTCTTAAAGTAGCTCGTACTCAGACAGATTGTATGAATAACATTCACAAAAATCAAACCTTGACAAAGATTCTCAGTTAAAGTGATGTCTTAAATTTCACTAGTTTGATCTAAATCCTTCCATGGTTTGTTTTTTTGCAGCAAAAAATTGACTTGGAGGGCTAAATAGAAATGCAAAAACACACCCTGGGGATTTAAACTTATATTAATAATGCACCACTTCCTGTTTGTCGATTATTTAAAATCCAACAGATTAAAGTTTTTGGTTGTAACATGACAAAATGTGGAAAAGATCCAGCAGTGTGACTACTTCTGCAAAGCCCTGCAGGTGTTTCTAAATGATGGGGAGACATTTTCCAGTGGATGGTATTTTTTAAGGATTTAATGCACTGAAACAGCTGAACTGCAGCCTGCCAGGTTTGTGCAGAAATAAAACACGATGGGAGTTGTGTCTGCTCTCTGCAGCAAACAGTGATGGGTGCTGCTGTTGTATTAAAGGCTGCATTGCTATAGGAAAATGCTTGTGACGCAAGAACAATGTAGAGTAGAAAGGAAGCTATTATCTCCGTATTGTGAATTGTACAATAGCTCCAGATATCTGTGCTTATTCAAAGCCTATTGTGATCTCTCCTCATATCCTTCGTCACATTGTCCTGCAATGTCTTCAGAGTCTTTAATCTGTGTGTAGTCCCCCTCTCCTACGTTTTGGCAGCACCCTGAATGCGAGTAGTAAAGCGGGAGGCTGACAGGCACGGCGAAGTGGACGATTTATGATTTGTTCCTGGCATTCACATTAGGATTCTCTTTGCCTCTTTAAGACAGATGCTCCATTTCTCCCTTCTGTTTATCACACATGCAGCCACAATAACGCAGCGACTGCCAGAGGCCTCCTGATGCTAAATTGGAAGCAGAATCTCAAGGTTTCTAAACAAATGATTAACAGCTGATTGAACACAATGCTGATGGCATTTCTGTGCGCCCTTTAATTTCCTGTCTCACTTTTCCTCTTTTTTATTCTTCAAGTTTGACCAGATGATGCTGTTTTTCATCTTGCAAGAAAGATTCCTTCCTCCCTATAGTAACTCCTGCCCTTCATCCTTTGACTTTTACCCCGCAATCAAACTTCAGTCTCATTTAGAGGCCGCCTCCGAATGGATTTCTTCTTTCTTTTATGCCTCTGTGCCTTAGCCACCAAGGCCATGCATTTTCTAACAGACAAACAATGTTACAGAAAATCCAATTTTACTGCTAAGAGCGCTGCATAGAGGATGTGACATTTAATTTCTGTTGGGGCTGGTTTTCCAAAGGGTTGGGTCTCCCAGAGGCCAGCGAGCAACGCCGCTGCTTCATCCCCTTTGACTGAAAAACGGAGGAAAATAGTGGAAATCAATGCATCACCTCCAGTTGATTTGACAATCTTTAGATCAGCAGAGAAAAAGTAACAGATTCAAGTGCACAAGTTCATTGATTCAGTTTCACAGTCATCTCCTTCAGCGTGTTAATTTAATCATTCGCAGCCACTGATGCTTGTGTCAGAGCTGCCAGCCACGATGCAATTCAATGAGAGGAATATTGGCCATAATGATGCACTTTAATCAGAATGCCTTTCTTTATTCTCTTGTCATGCCTTTAATTTTTCATCTTTCAGTCCCAAGGGTGCAAATCATTCAGAGTAATGATGAAACGTGAATGTAACTTCTTTGAGCGTGTTCATGGTGAGTTAGGCGTGAAGAAGTGATTGTTTCAGTAACAGGCAAATCCGGATTAAAACACCTGCTTCAGTTCTGACAAGGAGTTTTCTAAATTATGTGTTTCTGATAAAGCAGCGATCTGTGTCCGGAACAAATCATCTTCTTGGTGGAGTTTATCAGATCTAATTTGATTTTTAAAATGCTGCCAACATTTCAAGCCAAGGTTAAATCCTTCAAAATGAAAGCCAACTTCACAAAACATCCCAGACAAGGTTACTAATAATTGATGTTTTCTGCTTCACACTTCAAAAATTCAGGTATGAAGCAATTCAGAGTAGAAAATTGTAAAATCCACCAAAGTCTATCTGTGTTGATTCCAGCCTGAATGAACAAATTCAGAATAGCTAGTTTTATCCAGTGACAGAAAATTGCTCACTTCTTTCCACAGTAACAACTTCCACACTGAAGGGTGTTGTGATTTCAGCAAATAGACAATATCATTCACTCGGTGCATCTCTACTTTAGTGGGCATTTGCATTGTGAACAATTCAATGTTGGGAAAACGTCTGCTAATTGGCTAATGAGCTAACAGCAGAGCTAATATTTCACTTAGCTCTGTAGCATTTTTACGTTTCAAAATGTTTAAGTACACTTAGCTTCACCTAAATTAATTTTTCCACTTAAATTCTACAGCACTAATTTTTAGAAACATCTGTGTTGGAATTTTGATGATCGACTCTTCAGAATTCCTGAACCGGTTTGCTCTTTATGTTTATGCTCTTATTTTGAAGTCTGTTTACATAATAGTTCTATTTCCTCTCATAACATTCTTATTTTTTTTAAAAAGAAAACTTTGAGAAAGTGACAAGGATACAAAAAAACCAAACAACTAAGGTGTAGCCTAAAGAAAAATATCTGACATGTTGAGTCATTGACATGTGGTGGGTGTAAACAAGGTTGAAATTAGCACTTTAGCATTAGCTTCCACCAATTACTATGTTGGTGTAGTGCTTTAACATTACTGGAACTTATGTTTAGTGATTTAGGGTTAGCACAACTAACATTTTAGTTAGCAGGTTAGAGCTAGCTTGCTTTGCAATAAATTTAGAAGGCTGTACGAATGCCAAATCCTTCATGTTGGTGTGCAGGAGCATGTGATCTAAAATGTGTTTTCACCTGTGTGCGACACACCTCTGTGCATGACATCCTCTACCTCTTTCAGGTGTTTTCTCAGTCCTTCACAGCCTCCTATGCTATCTACAGTGTGGCTAATGGGTAGGTGGAACTGTGATTGCCAAAATGCATGGGATGCACGGGGCATGAGCATTAACAAAGCAAGCAGATCTGTAGTTTGATTTGAAAAAAAAAAGTGTCCCCCTCAAAGTGCGTCTCATTAAGTCATGCATTTGTCTGTTAGTGTGCTTTCCAGGTTCCATCAACAAACATATCGTACGGTTTGCGCAGTTTTGTACCTTTGATGTCGCTGCCTGAGATTTGTTTCAAGCATTATGAGTGGAAGAAGTTCTATGATGTGGCTTTGGGTGATGCCTCAAACTTCAGAGCGACGTTAAGGATTTTAAGAAGAAAAGTCAGTGCCTGAGTATGCTTTGGAAGATGTTTGCCAGCCTGAGAAGAATGTAAATATGAATAAAAAAAGAGAGAAATGCTCCCAGTCCTGCATGAGCCAACCCCACTCTCAGTTTCATTTTTCCTCTCTGCATCTCGCTCTTTTGTCCTGTCAGTACTGCTGCTTTCTCAAGGGCAGGGCATGGACGGAGTTTAGAGGGCTTCAAGCAGGACAGCTGTCCCAAAAGACAGTGGGTCATGTCAGGTTTTCTTTCTGTGTGTTCCAGGAATCTGCTGGAGCTTAGCCCTCCCGAGAGGGAGATGACAGAGTTGCAGTACGCTTCTTGGGGACCCCAGGGTAATCAGCTGGTAAGCAAGACGCTTAACTTATCCACTAGATAAATGTGCTGCTGTTTCCACTAACTAAAGCCGGCAATGTGATTAAAGGCTTGCCCCACCTAACTATAATATCGTCCTCTATTTGACACATTTTCATCAGTGGTACTAAGAGAGAGGAGCTGGAGCTGCAGTCATTCATGTACCTCTGCTGTAAATTGCTTGTTGCAGTGATGTCAGTGTTCATCTGGACTGCACTCACTGCCAAGTAAAGATGCATTGGCTCTGAGCTCTGTTTGTTCTGGCCAATGACTCATTCATACTTGGTAGGCATTCACCAGTCAAAACAGGCAGCCAGCTGCGAAGTCTGCACCCTTGCAGACTTTGACAATAAATTGGCTACGTTCACACGGCAGGCAAATGCGACCCAAATCTGCTTTATTCCCCCATAACTGACCCATATTTGACTGAATGGATCAATTCCCTCACAAACCCAATCTGTGCCACTCCCACATGTGGAACTGGATTGTTTTCAACGCGTCAGCAGTCTGAACGGTCATATCAGACTGTATTCACCTTTTACGTTATTGATGTGAGACATGCATTGCAATTCTACACCAGAAGAAGAAATTTATATGAATAAGACATAATCAATGGATGAAAACTTATTAAACTTATGATTATGTACTTGTGAATCTGTCAAAAGCTGCGTTTCCAGTGCGCAAATCTCTCTCTATAGTCTGATCATGATGAAAAATTTAAATTTTGTAATTGCTGTGTTTTCATGAAATAAGATTTTGAATTAAAATCACTTGTTCATGCAGTTTAACATTTAAATCATAGTATCATGAGACATATTCATGGAGGCAGCGAGTGATGCGCATCACATCAGCTATGCACACCTAAACAGACTTCACAACAGAAATTACAGTCAATCCTCTCAAAATCCCATTACTATTAGTTGTTGTTTCTTTTTATTAGCTCCCTTTGTTTTGCTACGACAATACTCCCATTGCTGAATAAACGTCAAAATTGATCCATAAATGGCTCTGTCCATTATTACTTCCGTAAATAGTGCTCTGCTGTGTGTCGTCAACGTTTTGCTTCTGCGCCTGCGGAATCGCTTTCGAGCCGTAAACCTTTCGTGGTCAGATTTAATTAGCAGTATGAACAATCAGGCAGAAAACAAATACCTACGGAAGAGGATTAGGACCACCAGAAAAAAAAGATTTCAGAATTCTGAGATTAAAGTCAGAATTCTGAGATTAAAGTCACAATTCTGAGATTAAAGTCAGAATTCTGACTTTTTTCTCAGAATCTGAGATTAAAGTCAGGACTGTTTTATTTTTTTTCTAGTGACCCTAATCCTTTTCAGTAAATATCAGATTTAAAAAAATAAATAAAAATGAACATAGCTTTTGTTTGTGCTCAATTTGCCAGGCCTTTGTGTTTGACGGAGACATCTACTACAAGCCCAGCGTGACGGGCGACTCGCTGCGTCTCACGTCCACTGACGAGGACCAGAAGGTTCTGAACGGACTCTCTGACTGGACCTACGAAGGTGCGATGTCTCCAAATGTCAGCAACAACTGCTCTATTAGCCACCATGACACTTTTTGTGGAGGATGAGCATACTGGAATATTTTGGTCGGGTTTGCAAAACCTTCTTCCAGAAAAAATTGGAGAGAACATTGATTTATTAAATTTGCAAATATTTCTCATCTATAACAATTCAACGTTTTCTTCAGATGAAACATAGTAAATCTAACTATAATCCCATCCTAAATATTATGTTCACAAGATGAAATGGAGAGAAAAATGTCCTCTCTTTTAATAGTTTTAAAGAAACAGACTTAAAAAACGTGCGCTGCCTTTGTTGGAAAAACTTAACTGTAATAAACAGAAACTTGTAAAAACGTCAGCTCTTCTTCAGAAATTTTACTTTGTATCCTAATCCATCTTTTATCTACTTTTTGTAGTTACTAACCCTTTATTATAAGTATTTAAGCGTATTTAGTATACATATAATTTATTTAAAATAAAAAATACATTTATATATAATTTATATTAGGAAATAACATTTTGTTATAAAATTTATAGAAAACATTCATTTTATTTTTAAGAAAATGCACTTTTTTACCTATTTGTGTATTTATTTTACGTATAGAAATGTAAATACATATATTTACTTTATTTATTCTACTTTGTAGATTGCAAGACCTTAACACCAAGTCTGTGGTTATCCTTTATTTTTATTATCGTGATATTTGTCATTGTGTTGAAGATCCTCTAAGTATGTTACTGTTACTTATTTGAGATAAAGTCAAAAATAAAACCTTAATCAGATATGACCATTTAAAGAATCAGGCTGATCACAATTACAAGTAAAACCACTTTACTTAACTCTTTGCAAAACTTGCATTCCTCCAAATACAGAGGAGGTGCTTCTGACATATGCTGCCCACTGGTGGTCAATGGATGGTGCCCGACTTGCGTATCTCCGCATCAACAACTCCGTGACGCCTGTGATGGAAATACCTCACTTCCTAGGAGGCCTCTATCCTTCCAATATGATATTTCCGTACCCAAAGGTAAATACTGTGTTGAAATGAGTCTCACCAGCAGCTCCTTGGGGATACGTTGAGGCTGCAAAGCTTCTTTCAGCACAATGCTAACATCAGCATGAGAATAACGTTGCTCTGAGTTTTTTTCAGATTTTGTCATGTCAATAGCCACAAATTTCAACATCTAGTGTTATAATTTTATGTAGAAACATACATTTTTGCAAGGTTTGCAAAAATGTGAACTATTGATTTTTAAAAAATTACAAATAAAAAGCTAAGAGAAAATCTTTTTGACAATACCACATAAGTGTTCAGTCTATAATTTTCCTGCAGAATAATTATAAATATTTTTTTTACTTCTTTATTTGCTTGATTTAAACATGTTTTAAATAATTTTCTTGGCCCATAAGTACTTTTTTACTTTTGGCTAACGTAGGGCTGGATAATAAATCAATGACGACATATATTGCAATAGACATGTGATCAACATCCATAGATCACAATGTTCAATAGAGGAGAAAATATTCACTGAACTTTCTAAGCTAAGTCGGTGGAATCAACTGACTTCAAAACTGATATCTGCTTAAAAAAATTATTTAAAAAAACAGTGGCATGGATAAAACAGAGGGACTGATCCACTGGTTTGGCAGTAATTCATTTATTTAAAACAAAAAAACAAATCAGTAATTTTCAATAAACTCAGATGTTATCCATTTGGGTTTTTTCTTCTTACTTTTACTTCTGTACATGCAGGCTGGTTCCAGTATCCCATCAGTCAGTCTGTTTGTAGTGAACCTTTACGGTCCAGCTCACACTCTGGAGATGCTGCCTCCCGACTCCCTCAGGTCCAGGTACATCTCTGCAAATTTAAAATACAGCTCTATGAATTCAGACGGCACCTGTCAGAGATGATTACGCTGTCCAGAAACCGCTCCCAGTCGCTGCTTCTCTTTATCATTTTTTTTTTCTTCCTCCACGTATCATTTTCTGCATCACCTCCTCAGGGAAAACTACATCTCCATGGTGAGCTGGATCAGCAGCACCCGGCTCGCGGTTCGCTGGCTGAACCGTGCCCAGAACCAATCAGTGCTCTGCGTGTGCGAGGCCACCACGGGGGCATGCTCAGAGGTGAGCAGCCGTCGCTTTCTCTGTATTAGCAGTCTGAAGGGTTTTCTGCTGCAATATAGCGGTTTAATAGAATTTTGCTTCATTTACACAGTTTGGGGAGTTGAGATTGATTTCCTGAACCCCTCAGATTTGTTCTGCCTGGATTAATATTTGAAGTCGCTTGCTGCATGAGAAGAATTTTCAGTGATTTGCTGAACTCCATCGCTCTCGTATTGAAGAAATTCATGCAGTTTTATGATCTAAAGCTGAGTTTAATCATTTATAACAGTGATGTATAATTAAAAAGAATTGTATTAAACTTTCTTTTAAAAGTTACTTTAGAGATACCATCCACTGGTGTTTTTTTTTTCACCAACAAAAGTTACTCTAACAATAAAAACATAGGTGGGTAATGAAGAATGGATTTTACTGCAGGAGTTTATAAAATACAAAGCTTTTGAGGAGTGTTCAAAAGAAAGAACAGCGAATAATGCTGTGTGTGGTTTTGGATCAATGACATCACAAAAGGTACCAGAATCAACACAGAATGTAGATTAATACAAGACAAATAATCTTCCTTCTCCCAGTGCTAACTACAGAAATACACCCACTCAGTCAGAAACAACCAATCAGAGCCTGGAGGAGGGTTTTTATGCTGCCAATCACTGAGCTGCTTCACCACAACATGGCATGCCACAAATGCTAAAGCATAGCCACAGTTTTTCAGGAATAGTACTGTGTTTCTTCGCCATTAGCACTTCCAGTAGCGTGTACACGAGTTTGATTGACAGCACTGAGACCAAGTTAAAAACAACATTTCTGCTGTGGTCCTGTTGTCAAGTGGAGTACTATTATTGCACTTGTCTTGAAATGTGTCGGTGTTTTTAAATGTTATAAGAGTAAATTACCTTTAAAGAAGGATTTTTGTTAAAAACATGCCTTATTTGATGTTGTCAGAGGCATTTGCATAAAAAATGTTGTCTTTATTGATTGACCAAAATGTAGCAAAGCAACATAGAACTGACATGTTGTTCTGTACATAACAAACTGTATTTAAACTGAGTTTGATTTATTCACAAGATTATTCTGACCACCATCTTTAATTACTGTGTTTTTTTGGGGGGGGGGAATTTTTTGGAAAATGGTTAGAAATAAATGACAAATTTCATCTGAAATCCATAGAAACATAAAATGGCCATGGACATGATGCAGAACCAGCGACAGGTGTGTACTTCCAGTGATTCAGAAAATCTCCCTTCTTTGCTTTTTTTTTTACTCATTAATTACTTCCTTTAACCTTTGACCTTCCATCATCAGGACTTGCCTTTGTTTACGTCAGACGGCTCCATGTTCTATACGATACTTCCAGCAAAGCAAGGCGCTCGTGGAGAGTTTCACCACATTGCTGGTCTGACAGTTCAGGTCAGTCGTTTTCCATCCTTCATCATTATACTTTGACAAAACTACAGATTTATAATATTCATATCAGTAAAGCTTTGTTTTATTCTCTGGAATACAATTTATTCAGTCCTGAAGTCTCTACTTTGTTTTTAGTGTTTATAAAAAAGTGTGTAAGATTACAATAAAAATGGAATGTGTGTGATTTTTTTTCTTCATTTAATTTACTGAAAAACGTAAATCTGATTCCTAAAAGGTAAAGAAAATGCTGCTTTCCTTGTTTTTGTACTTTCTAGAATTTCTCAAAGGTTTTTAAAAGCCTTATATGTGTTAATCTTAGTTGGGGGCTTTAAAAAGTCTTAAATATTCATCAAATTTATTTATTTGATGAAATTGCTGTGGGTGTTCATTTTTTCATAATTTTTAACTAAAAACTATAATGCAGGAAAGCTATAAACTGTATGGAAATACATTCTTACCCACACATTTAAACTTGGCTGTATGCCTGAGTAGGTATTGTGTTTCTGAAACTGGCTCATTGTGCATTCTGGAAAATAAAATTAAATGCTTTTGTTACGTTATGCTCTCATTAATCATAAGAGAGTGTAAATATAAGCAGGCCTGGTTTGAAAACCTCTAATCAAAACAGCTTACTGTTTACTGCAGAAAAGCACAATATTAATTTTACTCAAACATAAACCTATAAAAAGTGAAATCAGAGAAACCGAATATCTCTTAATTTTCTTCCAGAGCTGTAAATATATATTTTCTGTCAACAAGTTTCTCCCATTTCTGCAGAGGCCCACATCCATTCTGATTTCTGCCCTCATAATAAAAATATCCAACAGGATCCTCTCTACAGCCACTGGTCGTTTGATTGAATCTCACATTTTCGACCCATGCAGTTCCTCCTGCCATGCTCTGACAGAACCTTGCTATACAGCTGTTCCTATTTTTATTCTGTGTATGTGAATACTCCTGCTTTGCTCTTCATCTCTGTGTGTCTGTGTAATGCAGCCTGCCATCCCCTCTGTCCCGCCTCGCTTCTTGACATCAGGGAGCTGGGATGTCACCTTGCTCTGCGCCTTAGACGAGAAGGCTGGAAAGATGTATGTGGGAGCCACACTGAGTGGGAAATCTTTCTGTGAACACCAAAGTTGCAGTCTCTGAAATTATTATAGTTTGCTTTAAATAGAAATTTTAATCTAAATCATTCAACTACTATAGTAGAAACTGACTTAGATGGACGTCTAAATTGATTTGAACCACATAAAGTGCATGTTTTTTTCCACACCCACGACAGTGTGTGAGGATCTTTGTAGGTAGAAAAGAAAGACACAATTAAATTTAATTTAAAAGAAATAAATAAATAATTTGAAAATTTGTAAATTTTCAACTTTTGGAAAATTTCTATGTTTAAAATGTCAAAATTTTTACTTTTGAAATTGTATTGCTTTTTCAAAAATATTTAAATTCCTTTTCTAGAAAGTTTGGAGCTTTTAAAACTGAAATTTCCACCTTTTATCCTACAGATTGGCGAGATGAAAAGAAAAAAAATGTAAATTTCAACCAAATAATTTTTTAGATCAGTTTTTTCTAGTAAAAATTCAGAAATTTCTGAGTTTCGAAAGTCAAAAGTTTCAAAAAGTCGAAAGCTTTAGACTTTTCAAACTCAAAAAAGTCTTTTTTTTACTAGAAAATCTCAAAGATTAAATTCAAAATTTTCTCGACTTTTTTTTAATTATTGGCAGTAATTTATTCCTCCCTTATTGTTTTCTATCTACAATAGCCAGATTATCTCACTGTCGTAAACAACAGACTCCGTTTGGACTGTTTTACTTTCACTAGCTGGGATAGCGCCGCCATCTTTAATACTATATCTGGCTCGATTTTCGGACGACCAGTGGTGACCCCTGCTGGTTGGCGGCCAAACTACAACACTAAAAGTCTAAAGCTAAGCAGACGTTGTTAGTTTATCAAATTAAACTAATTTTAATCAATAGCTAATTTGAAATGAACTGACTTAGTGCCTCTCTAATCTGAGCATGTCGTATTGATCTGGGCTGCCAAACTAAAGGAACTCTCTTTGATTTAGACTGAAGTAGTAAAACTACTGACAGGAAAGAGGACAAAGGATTACTTGGGGATTACACGAGGCGAGCAGATTATTGCTTAAACCTGACTTTATCCTGCTGGGCCCGTAAATCCCAGACGGACTGGGCTTGGGAAAGCCCGCTGTTAAAGGAGCCGTCTCTCGTCAGCAGCTCGGCTCTCATGCTGCTTGTTGCCTCTAAAGAACTCATTACTCTTCATAACCTCACGCAGACGCGGGAAGTCGACTCCACTCTGTCGCTTTTTGGAGAAAAGAAAACGCTGGCTTTATTAGACCGCTGAAGTATGCAAATGAGGGCCGATAGATTGTGATCATGAATAATTTATATGCAGATTGAAGGAGGAAGTTGGAGCACCTGAAAGTTTGACATTAAAACCTTGGGGAAAACTTTTAACCGTGACACAAGTAAAAAGTTTTGCAGCTTCTTTTAAACGTTTAATCTTGCAAAAGTATTCATGCCGTTTCCATAGCTACAACCTACAATGTATTTTATGGGGTCAACAGTTGATTGATGGAGGATAAAGCAGTGTTTGAGTTTGAAGTGATAGAAATTGAAACAAAATCTGTTGGGACTAACAAAATAAAAACAAAATGTTTTATTCATGGTTTAGCTTGGCTGTTTAAACAAACTTTAAATGATATGTTGTATGAACCGATGTTTAATTTGTCAGTTTTAATTAAATCAGATTCATTTATCCGGTTTTATTTATAAAAAGTCTAAAGTAATCACAAATTACTTTAGAGTAGAGCCATGCTTTTCTATTAACATTCACTTTATGAAAAGTTGTTTTAAAAAGGCTGTGCTTAATTGAAAAGACGTCAACTTAAGATTAAAACAAAATGCTGATAAATGCATCTTACAGAAATGAAGTTTTTGCTCCATTCCAAAGGAGGTTTATAATTATGTGGAAATATGTGATTTTTGCTTAATTTTTAAATCTCATTTTCAGCTACTTTCTGAGCACAGAAGTATCGAGAGAGAGCAGACACCTTTACAGGTAAATCCCTTCTGAATAGTCACAATTTCTTTCATTATAAATCAAACAGGTGGAGACAGGTTGTATTTTTATTATGCATAATTCAGTATTCCCGTGTAAACTCCAACATTTTCATGAATTTGAGAATTAGTTTCTATAGTGCTGCCAAAAAGTATTTACCCCCTTTTTAAGATTTCCTCTGGTTTAATTTGAACTTTTTTGTCATATTTAAATGTTTCATATCATCAGAGAAAAACAAAATTAAAAGAAAGTCGTATTCAAATTATAATTAGATTTTATTGTCGTTAAATCTCCCCCCAAAACACCCTGATAACTTGAAGCATAAATTTGTTATGCAGGATAGAAATAATTTGAAAGCATACAAGTGAGTCCAACTTTGAACAGCTGAAAACAACAAAAAATGAATGTTTTATTGTGGCCTAGTCAAAGTTCACACTCCAATCTGATTGTGACATTGCGTCTTGCCCTTAAACAAGTAATCCAACATGGCTGAATTTAGATAATTCTGCAAAGACGTTTGGGCCAAATGTCCTTTACAGTGATTACTTTTTTAACACTCAGTTTGGATAAAGTTATTAAAAAATAAATAGAGAATTTCTGTAAGGAGGCAAATACTTTCAGATTTGTGCTTCGAAACTAAAGTCACATTATGGATCATCATGTTAGTTGATTTTGTCATTTGTTTCAGATTGACTCATTTTGACACAATATGTGACAGTTTTATTCTTGTTTTATGAAAACAATCCAACTATCTCTTGGAGCAACTAAAAACAAACTTTCCCTTTAAATGCTGCCTTTTACCTGTTATATTTTTTTTCACTTTAAGTGTGGATTTGAATGGAGCGTTTCAGCGTCATTGCATCTCCTGCGGCCTCGTCGACGGATGCGGATTCTTCAAAGCCGTTTTCAGCCCAAATCGAACCCACTTCATCCTCTACTGCCTGGGTAAAACACACACAAACAGGTCTTATGTGACACATTTACACAGAAAAGAGGATAATTTTGAAATAAAAAGCAAATGTTTTTATGAGTAAAAATCTGAAAAGAGTCAAAATATACATTTTCCCCTCAGTCCAGCTAAATAAAATGTTAAATGAATTTTGATAAATAGTTGTGAAAATTTGTTCTTGTGCTGAAAGATCACTTTATTTATGTTTTTGGTGAATGGATTTTCTTCTACGGGACATTGATATTACTCATTCTTTTTTTGTGGAAATTTACTGCAATTGTTACACCAAAAATATCTATATTTAAAAGCTTTTTTTCAAAGCAGTCTAAAGAGAATATAAATATTTATTTATTGCAGCAGCAAAGTGATGAGCAATAACAGCAAATAGACTGACAGAATGATTGAATATAGAAATATATGTAAAAACGGAATAAAGAATAAAAATGCTGTACACTAAGGGTGACATTTCAACATAAATATTGTGTAGCTATGAAGGATGTGAAACTGAGCTGGTGAATTCAAATAAATATTTAATTGTGATAAATGGGAAAACTTCACACTCCTCAGTTTTACATCATTTTCTTTAATTTTGTTTCAGGCCCAGGAATCCCTAAAGTCACAGTACACAGTATGAAGGACCCAACCAGTGAGTGTCAAATGCAGTTCCACAGATCAGCCAGCAGAGGGCGCTGTTCTAAAAACCTGACCCGAATGCTGGATTTATTTGTGAACACCGCCACCTGCCTGTCACTCCCAACTTCAGCCATAACACTGATATAAGAAGAATATAATGCATTAGTGTGACGTGTTGTGTCTGTCTTTGTGTTTTAGTGAAAATAAAACAAGTTTTGGTTGCGTGTCCTGTGTAGGTTATGTTGTCTTGGAGGATAACAACTTGCTGTCTGCAGCTCTGGAGGACAAGAGGCTCCCTGAGAGTCTGTTCAGGACAGTCCAAGCAGACAACCACGGTGAAAACTTCTGGCATTTTATAACTTTTATACTATTTATAATGAGCAACATTTCTTTAAACTTTTAATAGGAGAAAATGCTCATTTCTACCTGCAGTTCCTGGTCAGGTTGATGTAATCAAGTGTGATTTAGCAGACTGGTGAAAAACCTTCATATTATTTAGTACATATATGTCTGATAACTCATTATTCCAGATCTCATGAAAAATAAACTAATCCAACTATGGATGTTTGAAGCAACATTCTGACTTTTGATTTCTACCAATGGAACTCAGAATTCTGACTTTTTTCAAGAATTCTGATTGAAATTTTTAGCTCTTAAAGTCAAAATTCAAAGGGGGGGGAAAAAAATCAGGATTCTGCCTGGAAAACAATATAAATTTTGAGAAAATTCAAATCTAAATTTGGGGTAAAATTAGTTCTGAGGGGGGAAAAATCTAAATCCTGGCAGGAGGAGAGATCGTAAAGCTGGACTTCTGAGAAAAACAGTTTGACGTTCTAAAGGGAAAATAGCGGGAAATCTTACATTAAAGTCAAAATTTTGAGAGAAAAAAAGTCAGAACTTTGACCTCAAATTCAGAATTTTGACTCTTGATCTAAAAAAAATTAACAAATTCCGACTTTAGTGATCAAGAGATTCTGAACTTAAAGGCAGAATTTTTATGTAATCAGGTTTAAAAGAAAAAAAACTAGAATTCTGACTTTAAGTTTCAGAGATGAAAAGTTAGGCTTCTGAGTTTAAAGTCAAAATTTTATTTTTTTCTGCAAACCAACAGACAATTCAGAAAAACAACATTTTCCTACATGAGTTTAAATCTGCTGATTTAACAGGCATATTTTTGCATTTTGTAACTTTGAGAAGTTAAGATCTTATTTAGCCAAATTATTCTTGTGCCTAAATTTTTCTCCTGTAGATCTGCACCTGAAGATGACGCTGCCTCTGGGCTACGAGGCCAACCTGCTCCCGCTCCTCATTATTGTGTAAGTGTCGCCTGCTGAACATGCAGGAGAAAAATCGTCTTCCTTTTATAATTTATGACATATTTTAAGCGATACAAAGGTTTTCACCTTGCTTGCTTACCTTGTTTTTCTTGTGACGGTCAGCGACGGCACGCCCGGCAGCCAGACTGTGACGGAGGAGTTTTCTCTCGGCTGGCCTCAGGTCCTCTGCAGCACTCACGGCGTGGCTTTGGCCTGGGTGGACGGCCGCAGCGGCGTCGGCCGTGGCCAGAAGACCGTCGCCGTTGACCCCCGGAAACTCGGCTCACTGAGAGTCAAAGACTATCTTGGAGTTGTAGAGTCAGTGAAATTTTACTGCATTAAGGTGTTAAATTCCTTAAAAACTACCAAACTAACCAATTTCATTCTTCCATAGGTTGTTAATGCAGCTTCCTTACGTTGACGATCGGAGAATAGCCCTATATGGAAAGGTTATAAAAGTTTTTTTGGATATGAAATGTCAGGTTTTATGAAGCTGCATCACTGTTTAACTCTGTTTTGTTGTTTCTAATTTCAGGCACTCGGAGGTTATTTAGTGCTCAAAATGTTAGCTGCAACCGACAATCTCTTTCAATGCTCTGCAGCTGTAGCACCAATAACAGATTTCAGGCTTTACAGTGAGTTCAGACCCAAGACCCATATAATATATATATATATATATAGATATATAGATATATATAGATCTATATATCTATATATCTATATATATATATATATATATATATATAGATATAGATATAGATATCTATATATAGATATCTATATCTATATCTATATATCTATATATATATATATATATATATATATATATAGATATATAGATATATATCTATATATAGATATATAGATCTCTATATATATATACATACATATATATATACATACATATATATAGAAACCATAAACAAAATAGATTTTGAATAATTTGTAAACAAAATTATCAAGTTTATTTTAATTTATGATGCAGGTAACTGATTAATTGCGACAGGCTTGACATAAACACAAATAGTTTTTCCTCAACAATTAAATAAAAGTTGTACAACAAAAATCAGATCAAATGTTTTTTATTTCTTAGGTGCAGCTTTTTCTGAAAGGTATCTTGGGTTTCCAGCAAAGGAGGAGCATGCTTATACGGTAAGGTTATAAAACGACTTGTAACTTTTATATAAATAAAAAACATGTTTTTTAATAGTTGTTAAAAACATGACAGGATGTTATGAGACATATTTTCTGCTGAAAGGCCAGCTACCATTGTTGGCTGAATAAATGTATTGCTCCTGACCAAAAACTCAAAATGTTAGCTGCAACCGTCAATCTCTTTCAGTCAGAGTCAGGAGGAGGATCTTAGCGCTGTCAATCAACCGATTGTACTTTTTGCTCAATGTGGTGATGGTGGAGAAACAATTCAGCATTCGCGGAAAACTGTTTGTCTGCCTTCATTGGTGGCCAGGCACAACGGGAGAGAGAAGAGGGATGAGGAACGCCATACAGAGGGTGATTGACAGCACTAAGACCCGCCTACTGGATCTGATTGGTTATTTGTAGTTAGCACTGGGAACAGGCAGAGGAGCTCAATATTTTTATAGATTATCTCTCATAATAAACATTCACAACAGTTTCAACAGATATGTTAAAAAATAAATAAATAAATAAGTTACATACCATATTTCCTGGACTATAAGGGGCACTTAAAGGCCTTTAATTTTAACCAAAAACGACTATTTGCCTAATAATCCTGTGCGTCTTATATATTGTTCTGGAGTAAAACAGCGCCCTCTAGTGATTAATATGGATAAAATCTGGCTGTGTTCACTAACCTTCCAGCAATTTTGTGTGGTACACGGCGCTCTGTACCATACGATAACTCTGTATGTTACATCACAACTACCGTAGTCAGGAGCGTCGCGGAGTAATACGTTCTGTGCTTTCACTGACTGACTAATCTGACTGTTTTGTTTCGCTTAATCCACTTTATAGTCCGATGCACCCTAGAGTGTTGAAAATACGGTACTTCAGCATTAAACTAAACAAAACTTCACTGTAATGATGATGTGTTTTCCCAGACTGCATCTGTCCTTGAAGAAGTCAACAAACTAAAAGAGGAGAACTTCCTCATTGTGCACGGAACTGCAGATGGTGAGTTTCCACGAGTTTATATGACCGACTTTTGAAATAATCTCACATCTGATTTATGTTTTCTGTGTCTCTAACCGAAGCGAGGATCCACTTCCAGCACAGTGCTGAGCTACTAAGCCGCTTGGTGAAGGTGGAGGCCAACTACTCCCTGCAGCTGTACCCAGATGAGGGCCACGTCCTGAGAGAGCCCCGCAGTGTCAGACATTTCCAGCGGACTGTAGTGAACTACCTCCAAAACTGCCTGAAACACAGCGCCCGTCCAGACGCCCCAGAGGAAGAAGAAGAGGAAGACGACTGAGCCCAGGGGCCTTCGTCTCTTCCTCCGGAAGGACTCATGTTGAGGACTGGATGCATCGTTATGCATTTCATTGGGTCAGGTCACCAGGAATTAGAGCAGAGGAGTGGGGACCAAAAGCATCAGATCACCTTCTGGAAAAAATGTTGTACTGTACGACATGATGTTGCACACAATTAGTTCAGCCGTTTTGTTGTATGTTTTGAGGAAGAGTTTGTTTACAAAATTCACTTGAGACGATGTGGAGGAGACTGCCACTGACTCAAAACGTTTACAAAGATTATAAAGCATGCATGTCATAACGGCTGCATGATGCTGATTATTGTATATTGAGCCTTTTTTTTCAAAGACTTTTGTTTTTGTCTTCATAATTTACAGATGAGGTCTCTATTTAGGTCAGATTTTGAGATCCGCTGTGCTTCAACTTTTAGATGCATTCTTGCTTCAGCACTCCTCAATCAGGACCTTTTATGCAAAATTTACTTTTTGCACGATTTGGTCTTTTATCTGGGTCTCTCCTGCTTCAAAAACAGCAAAAAATAAACCCATCCAAACGTTTTCCAGCAATAAGCAAATTTTTTTTTGGTGTTTGGAAAACAAGGCGTTTCAAAAACGTTCTGGTTATGACATCACAGTTGACGGTACTGCCCTGTTATTTAGCAACGAAAGGGGATATGCACTCACTTCGTTATCAGACAATGAAAATCTTCAGTCAGCTGGTTTCACTCCTGAATGCTCTCTGCAATGGCTACTGGAAAAGACAAGAGTATTGTTGAAATTGCATGTTTTCACTTGTATAAAGTGCAAGTCTAAATATTGGGGGCGTGGCCAGCAGCAGTTAATTTGCATAAAAGTGACAGAGCCATAAAACAACACATTTTGCATGGAGCTCAAAATAGGCAGAACTGAGCAGGTGAAATCTCACTCAGAATAATTTTATGCAAAAAAAAATGTAAAGAACATTTTTTGCACAATTTAGCTACTTTACTTTGAAAGGAAGCAGAATAAGTCCCCTTTAAATTACTGCCTCGCTGTGAAATCAAGTTCTGCAGAGGTCCAGTGATGAGGCCCAGTACTGAAACTCGTATGCATCTAAAAGTTGCCAGTCAATAACTCTGGAAGAGTTGGCTTAGAGTGTGCCAAACCTGCTGAGTGAGTGCTGTTGAAGGTAGAAACTGACTGCATAAAAGAAACATCTTGACACAAAACTAAATATTTGGGATGGTTACTAGATAAATGAATGCAAATCCAAAACTTTAGAAAAAGCATAATTGGTACTTAGGTGCTAGCCTGCTGATAGTCAGGAAGGACACTGGTCTGTTTATAACCTGCATGATCTCAGATTACAGTCTGAGTTATGGTTGCATCCCTATGGATTAGATTGTTATCAAAAAGTAATTTCAGTGATTCAATTCAAAAAGTGAAACTCACACAGATTTACTGCAGATTTTGGGCTTTGTTAAACATTGTGGATTAACACCCATAGTTGTCATGACTCACACCAGTAATTCTTTTTTCTAGAACAGTTTTTCCTTCCACTCAATTTTTAAATGACATGTTTGGATACAACACTGTGAACAGCCACCTTGTTTAGCATTGACCTTTGGTGACTTACACTCCTTGAGGAGGAACTTAATGAAAATCTACTGGACATCTGTCAATGTATGTATTACATGTGATTATAGAGACAATGACGTGATTTTTACATAAATTAATGTTTTAAAAATCATTTTTTACTGGTCTCACGTTGCAGTCTTGAGATTTGCATTATCTGTAAACCACAATTACCTTAATAAACAGAGATTAGATGTTGAAATAAATCACTGTGTATAGTGAATCGATACAAAGTATGAGTTTCACCTTTTTCATTTGAATAACTGAAATAAATCAACTATATTCTAATTTATCGAGATACACATTTTCTTTTTCAATTTTTACAGTCTGTCGCTGAATCAAAAAGTGTTGCATTAAGAATAAAGACCATTCTAAATGTGCCAAATATATTTTACAGATGTTGTCTTCTGGTTTTGTTTGCATTGTGTGAATAACAATGAATATGCAACAGAGACTATTTATTTATACCAGGCTCCAGTTCAAAAGTGAGTGTAAGTTACAAGAATGTTTACGTGTCTGTGCACTGTATCTAAAAGTATTATTTCTGTTTTGATACATTGTGGCATTTTAACCATCTATTGTGTAATGCAGGATTAAATTATTTCTTTGGAAAAAGTGTTCAGGCTTTATGTCAAAACTTTGATCCAACTACCAGGAGTGCATGTTGACAAGAACTCAGATGAATCCAGAACATCAACAACTCCATTTTCACTCTAAAATAGAGCTGGACATTTTGGTCTTGAATCGTTAAAAATATTTCTTGATTGTTGTTATGCTGGTAGTCTCATTGAACCATTGATGGGATGAATATTGAGAAAAAAAATATGCAATTAACTTGTCTTTTTATGAACAAATAACAGTCTTTTTCTGTTCAATTCACTTCAATTAAAAAAACTTTTTTTGTCTCGAGTAGTTTTCAAAAACTAGACACCATTTATAATGGACCTATAACACTATAAAAAAGATAAAAAGATAATAGAAAACACAACTGGATAATAACAGCATTTTAAAAACCTACTTTATTTTTAGCTATATCATTTCCAGCAAGGGTTTCTGATGATGTTAAGCTCTCTCTCCTTCAGGTATCTGAAACATATTGATAAAATTTTAGCTTAGAAATGTTATGTTTTGGGTTAAACAACCATCAGAAAGACTACTTATTGTGTCCAGTAAACACTCACTCACAAAAGGTCTCTGCTAAAGAAGCATGTCCAATTAATGGAAGGTTAAAGGAAAAAAATTTGCTAATAGGTGAACAATCAACAGGGGCAATTGCAAACTTCAGAAAATTCTAAAACAAAGTTCATTTAAGAGTTTGTGGGAGATTTACAAGTTAATGATTATAGTTGAAGTGAGTGCTTAGGTGTATCCAGATCATGGGATAGGCTACCTCTAATGAGCCAGAGACAATGTCAGAAATTTTAGAGCTCAAGAGGAAGATTAGAGACACCAAAGCCAATAATACAGACAAGCTGCAGGTCTGAAGATCATCATTGAAGCCAACAGTGCTTTCTTAATACCTCAGCAAAGCCAATAGGCTGATTGTCTTAATGTCAGGCATAGCTGGTGTAATTTATGCAAAAGGGTCTTCTACCTTCTACCTTTCTGTCTTAAAAGTATTTTTATTATTGGTTTTAAGTTGATTTTTGAGTTTTATTTTCAGTGTCATAATTATAAGAAGTGAAGTAATGTATTGATTAAATTCTAATGTATTTGGATACACCTTTATGTCATGTCATGACAAATTTAGAACATATTTTCAAATTGTTGATATTGTACAACATATCTACATCCAGTCATAAACTCATTTGTTGCATCTGTATGGTGAAAAGGGGTATGATTATATAAGTTAAACTAATCTTAGCCTTAGTCACCAAATAAATTGTGTATTTGGGTGAATTGTGTATGCATAGCATGTAAATAGGAACTGCATTTAGACTTAGTAATATTATATTCCGAATATGTAAGTACTACCTTTGTTTGGTTTGTGGGTTTTTTTCTCTTGCTGGAGTGTCTGAAATAAATCAAACAGTTCACAAATCAAATTCAAAGCCTTTTCGTAGAGATCGAAGATAAGTTAGCCAAAGGTCTTTGCCGTCTCCGTCCAGAGACTATGTAAGTGGGGAAATGGACAGACCATGGTTTAAACCTGTCGTCAATCCAATCACATTTAGCTTATCTCTACTTTGACCAATCACACCCAACTACGTAATTCCATCAATCCAGCGTATCATCCAATCAATACAGCGGGGAATAACAGGCCTGAATCCTTCTTCAACCTTCTAGTTTCTGGAGGGGCACCTTCAACCTGGTCCGCGGTGCACTGGCAGTGGCTCCATTTGTTAGAAAAAATAAGTAGTAATAATACATTGATATAGACACAATGTCCTTCCTGACTATCAGCAGGCTAGCGCCTAAACTTCTCAATTCAAAGGTAAGACGATAAGAAACACACGGCGTGTGGCATTTTTGTCCAAACGGCTGACGTTATCTTCGAGCTAACTTTCGGTTAGGCTGCTAACAACGCTAATAGCTTGCTAGCTGGTGCTAGCTAGCACAGCACTATCAGGCACAGCGTGTACTACACTTTGAGGAACTTTTTATGGGGTTGTTGCGCAAACTGTCAAATATTTTAACAGTAGTTTTCCCTTCCCGTTTTTCCAGAATTTGGTTGTGTAATAGGAACCCGCGTCTTGTTAGCAAATATTAGCTTGGGGGAGGTTTTCTTGTAAAACTGGCCTGCTAAAGTCTCACTCTGGACATGTTTCCTCAGACCCTCGTACCTATAAACACTCTTTAAGAGTCAGTTTATTTCTCTTGGATGTTGTAATTGTTTACATTACCACGTATTTGCCTTTAGACTGATTTTTAATTTGGCGATTATCCCTCTTCCCCGTTGACCTTCACATTCAGATTAATACTTCTGCTGTGTCTAATGTCGTGCCAGGGATAAGGTTTGCAGGACAGTGTACACGAATCTAATAAGCAATGCTGTAGAAACATGTGTTTTTGCTCGTGTGCTCATACTCATTCAAAGTAAACGTGGTAGGTATACACCCTTACCTCGAAATTTGAGAATAGAGACATGTTGAATAGTTAATCGAGTATCTTCTTATTTTAACAGATGTAGATCTGGAAAGCCAGTTTGTGATCAAGTACCCCAAGTTTAAACCTTTCAGTGACTGGCCCGCTGTCTACTGACCTTCCAGTGCAGACTTTACCCGTATTTCTATGCTTCTCTTTCTACTGAAATATTTACGGTATCTTTACAGACGGCTGTCCTTTAAAAATATAGCTTAAAGGAGTTATATTCTCCTACAAGAATATAACTGGTGACCACCTTGCTGGGTTTGGTGTCCTTTCAGATGAAGTTGACTTCTGACACATTTAACTTCTTCACTTATCACCTGTTATCTCAGCTGATTAAAAAATATGACTTGGCCTTTTTTCTGCAGTTACATAACATCATATGACTCCAAGTTATGACATAAAAAACTTTTGTGAAGCACTTTTAGTCTAGAATGACAAAAAACTTGACTCTCTTTATTAAAAGTGTATTTGGGGTAAAGGGGAAAAGGAAGTGTTTGAGTGTTTGTTTATCTTTTATCATAAATACGACATTTTGGATGCTGACTCTGTTAACCTTTCTGTGAAATGCAGTTTCTCTACTTCTCTGAGTGAAACTACGGCTCCATACATATATATGTAAGGGCTAGTAGAGATGTTGCATAATCTTTCTCTCAGCTGTGTAAAGAGAATGTAGTGATGCAAAAACCTCCCTTTTGTTTCGGGGACCCTGGGCCTGCTCTGTTCTTGTGGAAAAGCAGAGCACTTTGTCATAGTTTTTTCTCATCTATTGTTACATTTGAGAGTCTAGTAAACCCTTGCATAGCTTATGTTTGCAGTGTTTTGTTGCAGTTATTAAATATATCCTTTCATTATTGTATACATTTTTATTTTTACAATAATATTACTATATATATTGTATTAAGTAATTCAATATTTGCCTCTTGATAACAAAGGTCAGTGTTTCAGCACCAAAATGATTGATTAATATAGAGTGTACAAGATCCAGACAATGGATAATAAATCACTAATAAAAAAAACAATACTAGTTATAATTTATATCAACCCAATTTATCCATAAATGACCCTAGAAACGCAACACAGTGAAGAAAGTTGATAAACAAAAATATATAAACGTTAACAGAAGATTAAAGGAGGCAAACAACATTCGGTCATAACATCTCATACTGAGTTGAAAGTGTGAAAAACAGGAGAAACTTGGGGAGAAACTACAATTTACAAAATAGGCACAAAATGTAATGTATTTTATTATTCAAGTCTGGATTAAAAACGGTTTGTAGGGTATGAAAATAAGTTTAGAAATGTGCATAGGAAAGCACTAGCTGTCTTCTAGAAGTAGGTGTATTTATTTAATACGAGTCTGATTATCAGAGATAAAATCTTCGGGAAACATTATCTGTTTTTGGTTGTTTCCTGCTGCTTATTATCATCCAATTTGAGAAACTGAATGTTGGAAAGTTTTACCTGCCTGCTACACCAGAATGACAGAGTTAAAAATAGAAACCAGGATCGATAAAGTACATAGTAGCTATTTGATTTGACTACTTGCTTTTTTAGCAACCATCTAACCACAAGTTAGATTATTGATCTCATTTATTCTGTGTAAAATATTCAGCTAAACTCAGTGAATACATTTGTAGTTATGATGAGCTGTAACTGGCTTTTTAGTTTTAATTTAAGCCAAAAAAGTTAGCTTTTCCTTAAGTTTTTATTACTTTGGAGATGTTTGGTTTCAGATGATGGAAAGTTTAAATTTATGTTCCATCTTTCTGCTGCTTGTCTTATTCACAGAATGCCACATACTTATTTGTGGCGGCTAGGAATGCCACTGCATCAACAACAGTAAGTATGAATATTTTAACTGTCCTCACTCCTCATTTGTTTTTATTATAATACATAAAACATTTTGAAAATATGTTATGGCATGATGCCACTAACCTCTGTAACTCTAAAGTGTTGAGAACACTCTAATCTTTGTTACTTTTGTGTTTTAGTTTAAAATAAGAGTAAATAAAAGGTTAAATGAATTTTGCTTTTTTTATCTCCAGAATCTGAAGGATGTGTTGGCAGACCTCATCCCAAAAGAACAGACCAGGATTAAGAACTTCAAACAACAGTATGGCAAAACAAACATAGGTCAGATTACTGTTGACATGGTGAGTAAAAACCCTTTACATGTAATTTTAAATACATTTTAAATAAATATAGATGTAAGTGATAAAGAAAATGTAAAGAATATTCTGTTGTTAAAAGTAGGAGAGGGGTGGAGATCTGAGTTTGTATATTAATTTAGAAAGTTCTGTCTCAGCTTTTGACCAGGACAGAGATTAATAATGCCCTGGCTGCTGCAGCACATAATCCATTTAGTCTTGTCCTGGCTGGTTTACTGTGTCAGGTATCACTGGGTGGGTGGTCATCTGCCTCTGAGGTCACAGTATGAACTGATTCCTGCCAACACAGAGATTTCTGCTGAGTCACTCCAAATCCCTGCAGATGTTAAACAAACATGTATAGAAATACTATGTCTGCTAAAATACTTGATGACGGTTTCCGAGTGTACTGCAGGGGATTTCATTGTCTTGTGGTTTAGTTTTATTTCTTTATACCAAGTTCACTTGTTTTTATTTTTCTTTTAATGCTGGTGATTCTGTTATATTCAGCTTAAGATTTTTCAAACCCCATTGTGACATCATATGGTTATTTAACAGGTCTATGGTGGGATGAGAGGGA